AGGGAAAAAAACCCCACAAATTAAATGAGTCCAATCTTAGCCCTGTAAAACCTCCGCAAAGTAAACTGCAGATCTTCTGGAAAGCTTACTTTAAATAATTTGTATACCACTAATTGAAAAAATAAGAATAATCCTAATGTCAAATTCAAAGAAAATCTGCTCAAACAACAAAGTCTTTTTCTAAGAGGAGAAAAAAATCCTGGACCTGCTATTCTCTAATGCTTTGTATTAGCACCAGTAAAACCATTTGTTAAAAATACAAAGAAAACAATGTTAATTTGTTTTCCTTATGATAGTGGTTCTTCAAATACTCAGCAGGATATATCAAAAGTTCCAAATTTTGCTTACAAATAAGCTTTAATAGTTAATAGCAGTATTGTGTTTAATCTGCATACAATTTTTGAGGCAATTTAATTGTATATTAGCACAGGCTGTTGCGTAGGCAACATTGATCAGATTTTCACTATTTTTTATTCTCAAGGTTTTGTAAAAGTTCTTTGATGTTCTGAAATTATCTTTGATATTTTATCAGTCCTCCCTCTTTAAAGTTGGTCAACTCAGCTTCAGTACTGGTACAATATTTAAAAGTATGATATAAATGATGAAGTTGCAGAAAATTTCTAAAACTGCATATTTAGTTTGGACCTGGTATGAATCATGGCCTCCCAGAAAGCAGCTCTGCGAACCAGACACGAGTCCTCCCCAAGAAGTACCCCTGCCGCTGGGCAGGCAGGTGTTGATTTGTCTCACTACCCGTTTTCTCTCCGGCTGTATGCATCTTGAATTGCTGGTACCCGGGGGCTGAGCCGGGAGAGGGAGAAATCTTCTCTCTCAGCCTTGCCTTTGCGCTGGTGACATTCAGACCAAGACAGACACTGAATCCGGGTCTCCCGCTGACTGGGCGCATGTACGCTGTGACGTCCAAGCGAGTGGCTACAACTCACTGCCCCGGGAGCCAACGCAGGGACGGCTGCTGTCCACCGCGCTCACCTCGGTGATGTTCGCTGAAGTCTAGACGTGCTCACTGCCACCTCTCTTTACGTTGCTGCTTGTGTTTAGGTACCTATTTATGGCTCAACAGCACTAATATAGGGAGTACGTAAACGCCCAAGCTGAGTGACTGGGGTGACTACACTAATTAGTCAAAGCTGCCCTAGTGTCTAGACACCATTTGGCAGACATAGTATAGTCACGTAAGGGAAATGCTGCATCAATATTCAAAACAGCAAAGAAGTATAAATCTGACACCAAAAAAATTCAGACTAAGTCAATGAATATGTGTCATAGTGATAAATGACACCATTATAGGAAAAAAAAAAAAACCAAACCAAAAACAAAACCCAAGCCAAACTACTTGTTCTTCTTTTTGTGGGGGTCACATGCAGTATCCTCCTCCACAGCTACAAATCGCTCCCGCACAGCCGGGCTGGTGCTATTGCTGCTGGGATGCAATAGTGGCAAGAGGGCTTGGTATGTGGCCAAACTAATGGCTTTACTGTTGGAGGAGCTTTTCGTTTTCTCTTTCTTTCGTAAACACACAGTGAGTGGGCAGCAAGAAAATGAGGCAAAGGCTACCT